GTAAAATGGTGCAGCCACTGTGGAAGGCAGTATGTCGCTTTCTCAAAGAGTTGCAAATAGAGATACCATTTGACCCAGCAATTCCACTGTTAGGAATATACCCCAAAGAGACCGTAACTGACATCCAAGAAGATCTATGCACACCCATGTTTACTGCAGCTTTGTTCACAATAGCAAAGAGTTGGAAACAACCTAAGTGGCCATCAACAAACGAATGGATAGAGAAGCTGTGGTATATTCACACAATGTAATACTATGCTGCATTGAAAAACAAGGAACTCATGCAATATTATTCAAAATGGGTGACCTTAGAGGACATTATGCTGAGTGAAATATCTCAGTCACAAAAGGACAAATACTGCATAGTGCCACTGTTGTAAAACAGGACTGACATTGGGGTTAGGGGGCTACTGAGAAAGATGGGTTCAATAATGTATACTGCATTGAAACAGATGAGGGGGAAAACTGTTTAAAAGGGATATGTGATTAGGTATTTTTTGTCATGACAGGAGTCCAGAGCGAAGGCTGCATAGTGGAGTGGACCTGGGGGGAGGGATTGTAAAACAATGAAAGAATTTTTCTTTTACTTTTCCAACAGGGTAGTGTACTGGGGGGAGGGGGAGGATTAGAAGGGGAGAAAAGTGTAACAATGAATGAATGGAAATCCAAAGTCCCTGTAAATTTTCATTGAAACTAGTAATAAAAGAAATGTATACATGTTTATGTGTATATGTATTTCTTAGAGCAATAAAATAATATACAAGTAAATGAATCTAAAAAAAAAAAATGTTTAGGGAGCTCTGGTGGCCTAGCAGCAAGAGGCTATGATGCAATCCCGAAGATGCACGGTTTGAATCCAACAGATGTTCCACTGGACAAAAAGGAGCAATCACCACCTGTGCCACTCAGATCTGATTTGATGGTTCACAACAAGGAAAAAAAAATTAATAAAAGTGGCAAAAAATATGAAAATTGTTCAATCTGTAATAATCAAAGAAATGTAATTAAAACATATAATTTTTTATAACGCTGGCAATTATTAAAATAACTGATAATACTCAAATCTGATCAGTAAAATAAACTTTCTTAAGCCGCTCATGAATAACACATTTGTTCTATTAATTCATCCTCAAAGAATACATTAAAAGACAATAATGGTCTACTATTTAAAAAAAACATGTAAGAAAATATTTATTGTCCTGTGGTTAAATTCACAAAAAAAATTATAAGAAACCTGAATATTTACCTCAACAGGGACAGTTAAATGTTGTTTGTTGTTATGTACCATCAAGTCGCCTGTGACTCATAGTGACCCTATGTACAAGAGCCCTAAACCCTGCTCTATCCTATGCCAACCTCACTGTCTCCGATACACCTAATCCCACTATTCCAATCACTGAATCAATCCATCTCATCAAGGGTCTTCCTCTCTTGCGCTGTCCCTCCACCCTCCCAAACATGATGTACCTCTCCAAGGACTGGTCCCTCTTTGAGACATGCCCAAAGTATGTCAGACGAAGCTTCAGAATCCTTGCCTCAAAGGAGCAGCCCAGTTTCACCCTCTCCAGGACAAACCTGTTTCTTCTTCTAGCAGTCCATGGTATGTTCAACACTATTCTCCGGAACCACAGCTCAAAGGTATCAATTCTCTTTCTATGATCCCTAGTCATTGTCCAGCTCTCTGACACAAAGCACACAACTGCAAAGACTAAGGCCAGGATCAGGTACACTTTAGTCTCCAGCCTCTTCAGTACTCTGAAGAGGTCCCTGACAGCAGACTTTCCCAATGCAATTCATCTCTTGATTTCCTCGCTGCTGGTACCAAGAGTGTTGATGGTGAAACCAAGCAAACTAAAACTGTTAACTATCTCAATCTCTTTGCCATCCATAATGATGCTGTCAATTGGCCCACTGGTGAGAATCTTTTTCTTTTTTAACTTCTTTTAAAGAACATTTACAGAGATTCTGGATTTCCATTCATTCACTGTTGCACTATTGTCTCTACCCTCTCAGTTCGTTCCTCTCTTTTTTCCCCCCTTGAAAGTGTTTTAATTGTCCCATTGCCACAGTGCAAGTCAAAACTACTTCTGATTATTCTCCTTTGTCAGTGTGTCAACTGCCATTCCCTAACACTCCTCCCT